TAAAACCAGTTCGATTTCCGACTTTAAATTAAAAAGCAACGAAAAAAAAAATAAACTAACCATAAAAAATATTGTAAAAATTTTTTAAAACCCGGATTTTGCTATCCCCAAATTAATAAAGGCTTGGGTAACAAGCAAAAGTTTTTACGGATAAATAACGTTTAAAAGTAATAAATTTAAAAAAAAACAATAAAAGGAGTTTAAGCAGCTTTTGCCGGTAAGCTAAAAATGCCCGCTTTTCGCAAAAATATATACGGGCGGCGTACCAAAAACGGTACCAACAAAAATATAAATTAAAACGCAATTAAAGCGTTAATTTACAGGATTTTTGGGCATAAGCTAAGCGTTAGCCAAAAAAAAACAAACCAAATTATAACCAATTTATTGTAGTTAAATTTAACGGTTCGGCATATGCATGCGTAGCATTATTGGATTAAGCTAATTATAAAACGTTTTGTTAAGGCGGGTTTGCTATACGAAAGCAAAAAAAAAGTTTGTACTTAGCACGCCCGAAAACCGTAATTAAACAATTTTAAAAAGGCAAAAAAGTTTGGAACAAAGCTAAAATTTAACGGTACTTTTGGAACGTTAATTTGTTAAACGAAAACGGTATTTTTTACGAAATTACATTAATTAAAAACGATTTTGGGCGCTTTATTAATTGGCTTGGTAATAACCATCCAATTACGTACCGAAAATATACCCGGTTGCAAACGTATAGCCAAAAATGGGTTAAAAAGCTATAAAATAGCATTAAAGGAAAAAACCATAACAATTTTATGCCCAATTACCAAAAGCATTTGTGGTTATTTTAAAAGGAATATTTCGTTACGAATTATACGATACATTTAGTTTAAAAGCTTCGAAATAATTTTTTTTTTGTTAATAAACCAACGAATTAATTACCAAATTTAAATTAGCATAGTAATTACCTAAATGGTTTATTACCAAAAGGTACGGAAAGTTAGCAATGTTTTAACCCAATTTTTAATAGCTTATGCTTTGCGTTGCTAAGGTTTTGGAATGGCAAAAATGCAAAAAATTGGAATGCAAAATTTATACCATGCAAAAAGCTAAGGTATGGTAAATAAAATATAAGCTTTTATACATACCAACGCGGTATAACGAGGACGTAAAAAGCTTGTATAAACTTTTTAATAACCCTAATAACTTAAAGTACGTAGGGGTGCGCAAAAAGTAAAAAATAAAGCTATTTAAGCTTTGGATAAAGCAATTCGAAATAAAAAATTAAAGAATTTATTTGTACCAAAGCCATAAAAAGGATAGCTATTTGCAATAAAAACCCTAGCAGCAACGATTAGCCCAAACGAGCAATACTTTTACATACGGGTGCAATAAGGCCTTTATTGCTTAAAAACTTTAATTAATTGCGGTGCCCAAAGCAATTACGTATCGCTACAAGCAATATTACGATATGGTATTTTTGTACGCAAAAAAAATAAACCATACTTTTTTACAATAATAAAAAAAAGCCAATTAAATATAACAATGGATAAATCGATATTAAAACCAATTACTTTAGCTTTCGGTACTAAGGCAAAACCTTCCAAGTAACGCTGGACGCGTTAAAAATACGGGACAAAAATATGGTTTTTAAAATCCCGTAACTACAAAAGCACAATCCAAAAATTAATTAAAAGGAAAATAACCTTTAATAAAAGCTTTTATTAGCAATTAAAAAAGCTTAATAGCTACGGGCCGCAAGCAATGTAAAAATAAAGCCGAAAAAGGGTGTTTCGACGGAAATAAAGCAAAGCAGCAACCTTTAAACCCTATTATAAAAAACCATAACGACGTTTTACGATGGATTTAAATAAAGGCTATAACAATTAGCTAACGTATTTTTGGAATACCATAAGTATTAAAGGTTATTTTAAAAAAACCTAAAAACGGTGCTTCCAAAATACGGGCCGTTTAACCATAAAATTAAACTTAAGCCAAATGCGCAATTTAAATATTAAAAATTGTACCAATTTAACTTTAAGCAATAAAAGGGGTTAAAGAAATAGCTATAAAAGGATTTGAAAAAAGGGGTAATTAAACCTTTAACATTTTTAATAGGATACGGAATTTTATTTGTGCCTAAAAAAAACGGAAAGGAACGAATATGCATTAATTACCAACCATTAAACGAAGTTATAATAAAGGATCGATATTTTTTGCTTTTTATCGACGAGCTACGCAATAAGTTCGGCAAAGCCAAATATTTTACGGCTTTAAACTTTCGAAAAGCATATAAATTGCTTCGGATTAAAAAAAGACAAAAGTAAATAATTATTTTTCGGATACGGTTTGGCGTGTATAAATTATTGGTTATAACCTTCGAATTTACCAATACGCTAGCTACGTTTTAACGGATAATTAACCATATTTTTTAAAAGCATTTCGACATTTTCGTTTTAACGTATTTAAATAACATTTTAATATATTTAAAAACGCTAAAAAAGCATAGGCAATATATGCACCAAATATTACAAATGCTGCAAAACGCAAAGTTTTTAATTAACCCGGATAAATGCGTATGGCATACTTAAGAAATAACCTTTTTCGGGTTTGTTATTACGCTAGGAAAAATTAAAATGGACCTAGCCAAAATATAGGAAATGGCCGATTGGCTAGCGTTTATTAACGTACAAAAAGTACGGGCGTTTTTGGGGTTTTTTAATTTTTATTAACGATTTATGCAAAGGTTTAATGGCAGCGTTACGCTATTTACAAACTTTATTAAAAACGATACCCAATTTTATTGGGGGGCTCGAAAACAAACTGTTTTTAAACAATTTAAAAGCGCTATTTTACAAAAACCAATATTGGTTATTCCAAACCCCGATAAATTATTCGAAATCGAAATTAACGTATTGGATTACGCGATTGGAAAATAATTAAGTTAACGAAATAAAAAAGGAAAGTTGCACTTTTGCGCTTTTTTTTTTGCAAAAATTTAAAAAATTTAAATTAAATTACTAAATTTATAATAAAACGCTTTTCGTTATTATTAAGGCTTTGGAAAAATAAAAAGTATATTTATATGGAATAAATTATTAAATAACGGTATATACCAACCATAAAAATTTAGCACATTTTATTACAAGCTAAAACTTTAATAAGCGTTAAATCCGTTGGAACCAATATTTTTAAAATTATAACCTTTAAATTTTGTACCGAAAAAAATTGGAAAACGGAAAGGCAAATGCTTTAAGCAAAAGGAGCAATTACGAAATTGCTATTTTAAAAGAAATTAAAACGCTTTTGGCCCATAAACCAAAGGAAGCGTTGGTTTTAGCTTAGCAAGCAATGGTTTTAATAATTAAAAAGCAAAGTTAAATTTTAAATTTTTTTTTGGAAATCCATGGGTTGCTAGCCCATAGCTATTTAAAGGTTACCAAAATATAAAAAAAGCTTTGGCAGCATTACGGGTTTACCGAAATTTGGGCAATAATATTGGAAGCAATAAAGGATTGCCAAATATGCGTTAAGGATAAGCCCAGCAAGCATTTTTTTTATGGGCTGCTTTAACCATTGTTAGCGCTTAAAAAGGCATAGCAAAAAGTTACTATGGATTTTATCGTTAAATTTTTTAAATTTAAAAAGTTTTTAACAAAAATACAATATAATAGCATATTGGTAATAATGGATAAGCTTACAAAGTATGCTTTGTATTTACCATACAAAAAAAGTAGCAACGCGCTTATTTTAGCTTATGCTTTTTTTTGGTACGTAATAATAAACCATAAAATGCCGCAAAAATTAATTACGAACCGAAACAAGCTATTTATAAGCAAATTTTAAAAAACGCTTACGGCGCTTTTTGGAATAAAATACGCTTTGTTAATAGCGTATTACCTTTAAATGGATGGATAAACAAAGCGAACCAATAAAACGATGGAATAGTACTTACGCTATTATGTTATTTACAAATAGAATAATTAGGTTTAATTGTTATTAATTGCCCAATTTGCTTACAATAATTTTATGCATAAAAGCACAAAAAAAACGCCGTTTTACGCCAATTATAAGTATACCTTTACGGCGTACAACAAGCCTAAAGCCAAATTTAAAGCTTTAATAGCAAAAATCCAAATAACGAAGCTTACCAAATTGTACCAAAACCTTTAAAACAAGTTAAAAAATTTGCGTTACCGAATGGCAAAGCAAGCTAATAAAAAAAGGATCGAAAAACCAACCTTTAAAGAAAGGAATAACGCTTACCTTTTGCGCGCCAATATTAAAACAAAAAAGTTAAACAACAAGCTGGATAGGAAAAAATGGGGACCTTTTCGGGTTATTCGTATTATTTTTCCAATTAATTACGAATTCTAGCTATTATTAATTATGCGCATTTACCCGGGTTTTTACGTTTTTTTGCTAAAACTAGCGCTTTCGGGCCTTAAAAGCACCAAATTAATAAAAATTAACCCTAACCAAAAATAAAAAGTTAAAGCCATTTTTAACAAGCAAACGCATTACCGCAAAAAACAGTACTTTATTAAATAGGAAGGATAAAAAAATAAGTACAATACGTAAAAAAATACAACAAACTTTGGAAATTGCCAAAAAGCTTTGCAAAAATATTGCTTAAAGAAAAGTTAGCAATAGCTTTAAAGTTTGCAAAACGCCCCAAATTTGGAAGAATTTGGTAAGCAAAAAAAAAAAACCCTATAGCATATTTAAAGGATAAGCTAGCAAGTTTAAGCAAAAAAAAATGCCGAAGCTTTTCCTTTACATGCGTAAAACGAAAACTTTAACAAAGGTTGCACCAGGAATCGAACCCAAAATTTCCCGTTACAAAAATAAATGCGTTACCATTGCGCTATATAATTTATGGAAATTATTAAAAAAATTACAACTTACCGGATTAAAAAAGCGCAAGCAATTTAAAATCGATACCAAACTTTGGGCTTTTGGAATTAACAAAAAAAAAAGAAAAAAAAGTTAAATCGATAACCCCGGCTGGGAAAGCCGATATCGTTAATTTAACCAGGTCGTACCGGGAGTTAAACCCAGGATTTCCCGTTACAAAAGCGAACGCGTTACCATTGCGCTATACGATTAAAAGGAATTGTTAAGGAAGTTACAATTTATTAAGCTAAAAAAGGGCTAACGGGTTAAAATTAAAATCGATCCTTAACGCTGCTTAACCAAGGAATAAAGGAAAAAAATTGGGGTAAAAAGGAAGGAAGGAATTGGCCGTTACCAAAACAGCCTTTTTTTGTTCCGCCCGTTTTATTTGCTCCAATTTTTCCACGGTTTTAATACCCCGAAATAACGCCCGCAGCTGCTTTTTAAGCCAAAGGTCCTTTTGTTTGCGAAAACGTTTAAAACGGTTGTTTAAAGCACAACGCTTAGCTTTAATAACCCGCATTTCGGCTTTAATTTTTTGGTATTAAAAACCAATAAAGCGCAATTATTTAAGTAAAGAACCCAAAATGTTGCAATTAAAACGGTTGCAAACAAAACATTTTACGCAACAAAAAAATTTTTGCGAAAAACCAAATAAATATTTTTTTTAAAAACGTTTTAATAAAAAAACAAAAATTTATATCGATAACCAATGCAAAAACCAAAGTAAAAAGGTTTTTGCGTTAAAAGGTTAAGCGCGCAAAGCGTTTTTGTACTTAATCCAACATTGTTAAAAAAAAGGAATGGTTAAATAGTAAAAAAAATAATACTTACAATTGGCAATGGGAAAAACGGATATAAATAGGCCAAAAGGGTTTAGCCGGTAAAAAGGGAATTTAATGTTACAACCAATAACTACCCGGCCGGAACGGGAGGCTAAAAAAGCGAAGGGTAAGCAAGCGCTTACCCTTTACCATAAAAAAATTTAAATAAACCGCCCGTAATTTGTTAATAAGGTTACAAATTATTTAAATAATTTATAATTTGTCGACAAAATTACAGGTTATTTTCTTGGAAAGGGTAGGAATAGCATAAAGGACGGGCTATAAAAAAGGAGGGTTTTTTACTGTTTTAAGTAATTTTTAACTAGGGCTTCGGCATTAGTTAAACTTTAGTTAGCTTCCAAATAACCTTTAAAGCAAGCATTTAAACCGTACCCAAATTATTTTGTAAATCCCCTCAATTTGTTAAATCACGTGCTACTGTTCGATACTCCTTTGGTGCCTTACCTTAAAAGCAAAGGCCTAACTGTAACAATATAGCCCAGTTTTTTACACCCGTAACACCGTATTTCGGGCTTTTTCCTTTTTGCTTTTTATGTGGTTGCTAAAGCCAACGGGGTTTTTGGGTTATCCGTTCGTATTTTGCATATTGCAGCGATATGGTTTAATTGCCCGTATTTAAAGCAAATAACCGGTTTTTTAGCGGCTAAAGCAACGGTATCCCCCGGTATTTTTTTATGCAATTCCAATATTATTTTTGCTTTAAAAGCTTTAGCTTGCAATTTTTCCATAATGTAAAAAAAGCTTTTAAATATTACTTGTATTTGGATTTTGGGGCGGAACCGGTTAAAAAGCAATGTTATTTTTATCCATTTAAGTATTAATTTGGAAAAGTTATTTTTTACCAAATCCTAACAAATCCGGAACGTTTCGAACGATTTGTAATTTTTTTATTTAATAACTGTATTCCCCGCAAGCTTTTTAATTGCTAATTACATTTGCAAATTGGGGTTTTTCGATATTGCTTAAAATTACCGCAAAAAATCGGTTTAAATAAGCAATACCCCGGTATTTAAATAATGCATTTGCTTGTATTTTATTTATTGCGCTTGCTAACAATGGTTAAAAATGCTGGAAATTATTTAAACTTTTACACGGTTTTTACCGTAACGTTCCTTTTCGTTTTCGAAAATAAATTTGTAATTGTTAATATAATAAGCAATATTTTGCTAAATTATTAATTTTTTAAATATAAAAGGGTTAAAAATAACTTTATTTTACGTAAAACCTTTCCGTTGCTTAAAAGTATTTTTTTTATTTTCGTTTAAGCTTTTATGCGCATATTTTAACTTTTTATTTTAAATTTTTTAAATTAAACGGGCGCGTTTGCTTTAAGCTTTTAGCGCGTTATTTATTTTTTGCAACTTTTTTGCGAAAAGGTTTTCGAAATTATTGGAAATTTGCGGGGTTTTTTTGGTATTTTGTTCCGGTAGCTTAACGGCCTTTTTTAACGTACTTAACGTAACGTTAAACGTTATTGTAAGCGGTGCAAAATTGCAAATGCTTTTTTTAAGCTTGTTTAATCCTTTTCGGTAATTACCTGGGTTTGCTTTTTAAATAAAAAAGGTATAAAAAAAGGAATAATATATTAAAGGTTAATTAATGTAAAAGCGGGTAATTACCGGGTTACGGGCCGGATGCGGTATTTTTTTGTTAAACTTCCGTAAATTTTTTACCAAAAGTATTATCGTTAACAAATTTTTTTTTTTTAATTTCCCTTTTTTTCGTGCCCTTTTAAATACGCGGGGTTGGTTTTATAAATCCTTTGCGCTTTATGCGCTTTCGTGCAATTTAAGCTTTACCTTATTTTTTAACTTTGCTATTATGCTTTGGCCGCAATACCGGTAGCTTGCCGGCATATCCCCGGAAAGGTCCGTGCCCGGCTGGCTGCTAGCGCCCCCTTTTTCCTTTTTTGCCGGGCGGTTTCGCCCGTTTTTTTAACGCCCCCCGCTTTCTGCCGGGCGGTTTCGCCCGTGCTTTTAACATAATTATACCTTTTATTACCGTTAAAATAATACTAAAAAAGTTTGGAAAGCTTTTTTTTTTACCGTTTTTTTCTTTTATTTTGCTAATTCCTTTTTTTCCTTTTTTTTACTTCTTATTTTTTAATATTACAGCCTTAGTGCGCGGTGTTTTAATGTTTTGCATTTGTATGTGTGGGGCTAAAAAGGGGTAAGCCGGGGTTAATAAAGCAATGCATTCTTTATTATTGGGTAAAACTCCCCAGCCCCACTTGGCGTGCAGCTAACCCCGCTAAAATGGCTTTATTTTTAAAACATTACTATTTCGTTACATTTAAGCGCACCAATCCAATTTATCCAAATTTTATCGTTTGGTTAGCTTATGCAATATAATTAAATAGGATTTGCAAAATGCAATATGCATTGCTTTAATTAAAATAATTAACGATATGGTTGCTAGAACATTGTTTTATTCCAAACGCTATAACGTTTTAACCGAAATTATATTTATAAAACGCGATACGTTGCATGTTTGTATTAATAGTAAAAGTATCCCCGATATTACCTTTTTTTTGCAATGTTTTAAATCGCGCGCTTTTTTTCCTTGATTTTTGCGAATAATTTTTACAATATTTGCTTGGCTTTAAAGCATTTCCCTTTTGCCCAATATATTTATAGCGCAAATTTAAAAGCATTTGGCGTTTTTGCTTTTATTTTAATTGCTTTTATTACGGACCCGTCCGTTTTACGGCTCTTTTTTTTCGGTACCGTGGAAAATATTATTAATTTTTATCGCTATCATTTTACGCACGTTTATTTGCTTTGCTTTTAATATAACTTTTTAAAGGACTTTTTATACATTTTTCCGCTTTTTAACTTTATTAAACGCTTTTAACCCTTTTCGCTTTATTACTCGCTTTTTTTTCCGCCTTTTTTTTTATTTACGCCGTTTTTTTTACAAAATGGTTTACGGAATTAAAAAAAGCTACCAACGACATTTCCGCGGTAACCGAAGCACTTACCGTTTTGCGTTTCAGGTTAACCTCGTTACCAACGTTAAGCGTTATGTAATTATTACTTTTATTAACGGAAATATTAATTTTTTTAAATTAAAAGCAAAGTTATTTAACCTTGGTTTTTTTATTTTTAGCATTAAGCTTTATTGCGGTATTAACCGCGGTACCGGTATTGATATTGTTACGCATCGTAACATTAAATTAAGCATATTAGTTGCTATATTTTGTAATTGCAATATGCGCATTATCGCTTACCGCTTTTTTAATAAAATATTCCGGAAAATATATGACAAATGGGCAAAAGTATACTTAATTTTATCGCGCTTTGCGCAAGTAAGGTTAAAGGTTATACAATATTGCTTATCCCTTTAATAATAACGCTTTCGGTATTGTCCGTTATTTTAACGTATTGGGTAATATTTTTTTTAATAATACCCAGGGTTGGGAATTTAGTTACAATTTAGTTATTTAGTTATTTTTTTAGTCAAACTTTACAATAAAATATAAAATTAACAAGAAAAGGTATAACGTTTATTTCTTCATATTCACATAGAAAAGTGGCAAAAAAATAGTATATTAATTTTATATTACTTAAAAAGTATTATATAAGGGGATAAAAATGCATTTAGTTAAATTAGTCGGAAAAAAAGTTGAAAATGACTTAAAAAAATGACTAAATGCAAATTACGTAATATTTAATTACGTAATTAATTACCTTAGGTATTATTTACATAAAACTGAATTTTCTGTATTTAATAACGGTATTTTTATACTTATACTTATAACGGTTAATTTGATATTTAATTTTAAAGTGTGACTTTTTACTAACTAAACAGGTAACTAAAGTAACTAAATTCCCAACCTTGATAATACCTAACCATACTTTTTTCGGTTAATTAACCGGATTAAAAAGTCCCGTATTTTGTTGGATTAAATTTAACACTTTTTTATTCGCGGCAATTTTTAATTTCGCTTTATTTTTGTTTAAATACTTTTATCCCAAAAGGTTAAATATTTAAGCTTTGGTTATAACGGTTTTTATATGCGCGGCAAATTGGAAATTTGCGCAAATGTTTTTTTTTAATTATTTATTATATTTTTTATTTTACTTACGAACGGCAGCATAACCCGTTTCGCATAATTTTTAATATGGATTTTATTATAATTATTAATAACCGCAAAGCTATAAATAACCTTTGTTTAACTTTTTCGTTTTGTTAATTCGTTTAATTCTTTTTTTCGGTTTCCGCGTTAAAAATACGGGATATTTTTTTTACGTTGTACTAGCGTTAAACCAAACCCAATTAATTACAAAAACTATCGTTTTTTTTTTAAGTAACAAATTTTTCGAATGCTTTTACCCGTAAATTTAATGTATTATATAACGCCGTTT